GCCAGAGTCCCAGATGGACTCCTGTGGTCATGCAGGAATTCAGGTGTGTGGACAAGTATGAAGAAGTGGTGAGGGAGCCCATGGAGCCTGTTTGCATGAGGAACTGAGGAGCATCCTGGAAAGAATTCATGCTCAGGAGAAGAGTTAGGGTGTCCATGATGCAAGGACAGTGACTCAGGCTTGGAGACAAAGGGCATTTGTGCAAGAAGCTGATCTGTGTGCTCGGGTCACATTCCTCCCCATACTTGAACATGAGTCCCAGAGAGGAAAAAGCTTCAAGGGACAATTCAAACAGCCGCTGAACCATCTCTGAACAAGACTGGGAGACCAACGATAGGATGGGATACAGCCAACAGGCAGCGAGAGTCTTTACATCCCAGTTTCCACTGTGAGCTCTGAAATACCTCCTCACAGCAAATCCTTGGGCCCTTTGGGCAGGAGCTGCAGCTCCAGGAACTCAGGGAGACTTGACCAATGCAGTTCTGGATGCACCAACAGAGGGTGGCACTTTCATAGACCTGTTGTTGAAGTCGCAGGCTTTGCCAATATTCTGTGACACAAGATGAGCAGAGTCCACGTTGAGCCAACCATGAGAAAGGGAAGAGTGGGGAATCCCAGAGAGGATTTAGGGGACCTGGGGAAGTGAGGAGTGGGATTCTGAAGGACCAACAACAACCAATGAGATCCAATGCGGAAAGAGACTATTAGTTCCATGTAGTCTGGGAGACACAGGCTGTATAAGGTCATACAAAGATTTAAATAACAAAAGCAGTACTTAAAAAAATAAATGTATAGATTGCATCAAGAACCCTGAAACCCTGACAAATCCCAGTCTGGTAAATGTCAGACAATAGCCTTGCTACCTCTTAACAAAGGATCTTTTCAACATTGATGGTCAAAGATGCTTGGGGACTAGACTGGGAAATTTTTGGCGTAGATGCATCAGAGCTGTTATGGGTGACTCTGACTCACATCCACATTACTGGACAATTCCATCACGCAAAGAAGCATCATAATGGCGCCTTTCACTGTTACACCCAAATTGTCAGAGATACTATCTACATATAACTGAAATAAACCAAAAACAGGCATTCTATCCCCACCTATAAATTGTCCTAGTCCTGTCAAGGTGATTATTAACATGGAACATGCTCATTTGTGATTTATTTCCTATAGCTTATAATGTATCTTTCCCATCATAAAGATGGCCATTTGGAAGCCCAAGTGATCTTTCTAGAATTCAAATCTGATCAAGTCACTTTCCTCAGAAGACAGCCCTCACTCCCTGAAATGGAGTACAAGGCTCACCACTGAAAGGATCCCACCCATCACTCCATCCTCATCGCTTGTCCTTTCCCATAACAGTCTTCTCACAGCACAATCACCCAACTGTCATGACTAGTCTAAAGTCTGTCTTCAGTGCTAAAATATAAGCTTATGAAGAGAAGGACTGAGGCTGTTTGTTATTCACTACATTCATCTATGGCTTAACCTGGTGCTTGGGACTTAGTATGTGCTCAAGAAATGTTTCTTGAAGAAATGAACCAGGTATCAATGAATAATGAAATAGCAAGAACCTTTTAAAGTCATTCACTCTAGGGCAGCAAATCTGTTGTTGGCTGGAGGTGTATGTGCCTTTTTGGATCTAGTTGAGACTGCCATACTGAGCTCCACTTTCTCTATTGATGGAGAGAAGAAACAAGCATCCCCAGTGGAAAGAGATCAAAGGAGAAGCTTTTCCCAGAAAGGTCCCAGAGGAATAAGACGGATGGCGCCTTCAGGAAGGGAGTCAAAGTAGTATGGAGACATGAGAGCAAAGACTGGGGTTTGGTAGAGCATTACAGAGAACTGGGGCCTCCCACTGGCAGCCCTTTTCCTGCTGCCTTTGGTAACTGATGGCCAGTAATTAGGATGACCTCAGATCACAGCATAATATCCAGTAGTATTAAGGTAGAGAAACCATATAACTGATCATCCAAACCAGGATGCTTTGGAGAGTGAAATGGGAAACTATTGCTTATTAGTCAAGGACAGTTGGAATCAGCCAGGCCTGAGCCAATCACACCAGGATTATAGTTACCCTATTAAGCCAGACACCTCAAGGGGCAGCATGTGGAGAAGGAGCTCGATTCCTCAAATGCAGGAGCGATTTTTTGTGGGGGGGGTATTATTCCCCCCAAAAGTTGTTTCCATTAAGTCTTCATTTCTACCATTCCATTCTGTTCCTGAAAATTTCTGAGACAAAAAAATGACAGATGTAGAATACATAAAGGGAAAGAAACTAGACTCATTGGTAAGTACACAAACAAATCTCTCACTGTACCACTGCCCCAAAGGTGATTTTTTTTTAACTTTGTCATAAATTTGTAATAATTTAACATGGAGGAACCACCCTGAGCAGAGAAACCCTATAAAAGTTGACCTTCTACACCCCATTGATGCAATGTGACTCAGAATCTGGTTTGACACTATTTACTGCCCATGGGGGAGCACGAGGCTTCCCTGTCCATTAAGGTGTGGATGTGAATGCTGTTAGGAAAGCAGTAATTTCGTCTGGGTCACCATGACATCGTAAGTGCCAAATACAGATCTGGAAGCTCAGTGTTCTTGCAATAAGAAGGGGAAAAAAGATCATTGATAGGTTCGGAAGAACTTCTAAGGAGCAGAAGAAATGAAAACAAAATCCTGTCAGCGAACATCTGAGAAAAGAGTAGAGACTTTTTTTTGTTTTTTGAAATCCAGATAAAGGAGATCTTCCTCCCTACTTTCTCCCCTAATTCCTTTTTTTAAAATGAATCATCTTTGAGTTTTTTGGAGCAGTTTTAGGTTTACAGAAAAATTGAGCAGAGTACGGATTTCCCATATATATCCCTTACTCCCCCAATTTCCCCTATTATTAATATCTGGCTTTAATGTGATACATATATTACAACTGATGAGTCAATATTGTTATCATTTATTAAATTAGTAGTTAATTAAATACATTATTATTAAGTAAATTCCATAGTTTACATTAGGGCTCACTTTTTGTGTTGTACCCTCTATGGGTCTTGACAAATGTTTAATGACATGTATCTTCCATACCAGCATCATGCAGAATAGTTTCACAGCTCTAAGTGATAGACACTTAGGTTGTTTCAAAATAGTCTTGGTTATTGTGGATAATGCTACAATGAACATGGGGGTGCAGACACTTCTTTGAGATACTGATTTTGTTTCCTTTGAATATATACTTAGAAGTAGATCACTGGATCATATGGTAGCTCTATTTTTAATTTTTTGAGGAACCTCCATACCGTTGTCCATAATGGTTAAACCAATTTACATTCCCATCAACCGTGTACAAGGGTATCCTTTTTTTCATATTCTCACCAACACTTATCTCTTTTCTTTTTGACATAGCCATCCTAAGAGGTGTGAGGTGATACTGTGCTTTGGATTTGCATTTCCCTGATGATTAGTGATGCTGAGCACTGCTTCATGTGCCTGTTGGTCAGTTGTATGTCTTCTTTGGAGAAGTGTCTGTCCAGGTACTTTGACCAATTTTTTACTGAGATCTAATTGACATATAACATTAGCTCTTTGAAAGAGTGAAAATAGCTGTGTTCTCTCCACCTCAGTACCTAGTGCCCGAAAAGGTCCTGCCTCCACGCTACAAAGAGCCTCAGGAGCAATGCCCCAGCTCGCCTCCCACTTTTGCACTTAGAGGCTGCTTTAGTCAGGGTCTCTCTAAGTCCTGTATCATTGCCCAGCACCTGCACTGTTGCTTTCGAAGGCCCCTCTCTGAGAATCAGTTTTAGCTTTGACCCTAAATGATGACTGTCAGCTCAATTCCCAGCCCTTCAAGGAGACTTTGGGGTTCTGGGACGGCAGCATGTGACTGGGCACTCATGCTGAGTCTCTTGAATGGATGGAGGCCAAGCAAAGCTAGTGCCATGCAGCTCTGCCATGCTCATGTGCCCAGTCTGCCCAGTCTGTTCGATGCCTCTGAACTCCCACACAGCACATGCCCAGTGCCATGTAGAAGGACCCAGCGATCACTGGGCAGACTTCATTCGTTATCTCTTCAGGATATTTAAAGTGAACAGCAGATGCCAAGACACAACTCTTACTTTTTCTACACTCATCATAGTTGCTTCACATCTCTGTATTGTACCACAATAAACCCACTGTGCCGGGGACTCTTGGAGAATCCTGTGAAGTAAGCCAAGATGGATTCTTGGCTTTAGGCCCTGTGACAAATGGGCTTGGTAAAGGATCATTAGGAAAGTTTGTGCACAAGATAGCCATTCCAGTGCCACAAGGCAATTTTATATGTTATTTTAAGGGATATTCTTAGGTTTTATACTTTGCTGAAATTGTTGCTTGCTTGTTACTTTATAATATCTTTATTATTAAAGAGTAAAGTAAGTCCCATCCTTCAGTGCCCCATGGGAAAGGAAAAGCTGTCATCAGCTGCCACCACTGTCAATAATAAAAGAGGATGGCCCATCCCCTGAGGAGGGAAGCAGTGGCTGACCTTGGACTGCATCTTCTAAGATGGGGTTAGGGAAGGAGAACTGAGGGGCTCCTCTGCTCAGTTCAGACTCTGAGAGAGTTCAGGAAAAAAGCATCCACCAAGAGACACGGAGGAGGCAGTCAATGCATTACGGCCACATCTATCTGATTATTGCTTCCTGTTATCCTGAAGAGGAAATCAGGTGGTTTTTTTAAAATTTAGAAAAATTTTAAATAAAAGTTCTCTGACCAATTTCTGTCTTTTGCTATTCTGAACGTTTACACACAGCATTACTGAAAAGAAAGAAAGAAACAAAGAAACAAAGAAAGATGGAGGGAAGGAAGGAGAGAGGAAAGAGGAAAGAAAGAAAGAAACTCATTGTTCAATTTAGGGCCCGATAAAGAATTGGCCAAAAACTCCACTAAAATGTTCACTGGATTCGACGACTCCTTATTCAGTCTCTTTTCCTAAGTCATTTAATTGCTGCAGAGCATTAAAAGTCTTCAAAGAACATAAAGCATTTCGTTTATTTATTATAGTCAACACAGAATTTTGAACTAAAGTCACAATATTATATTTACACATGCGAAGAAAATTATATTTAAAAAGTCAATCAAAGTTGCAGCCCTTAAATTGGTTTTCTGAAAGTACAGTAGTCACTTATTCACAAGCTCACTGATAAATACAAGTCAAGAAAATCCAATCCTTTAACATTCTTCTCATTGACTTGATCATGTTACCCAGACAGCACGCAGATGAGGCCCCAAAGATAAGAGAGCCAGAAAAGCTTTTTTGTAAATATATACCTTCTTCCATGATTACCAACTCATTGAACAAGTTCAGAGAGATCCTAGACCCATTTTGCAGACAAACAAACTGAGGCACAGAGGTGTGTGAGGTATGAACTGCTTTGGTCACAGGGTTGTCCCTGCACCTCCTCTGTGATTCTGAGCTTTGCCTAACCCCATTGGTTTAGGGAGAGGCAAGCTTGCCACAGAAGAGAATCGTGTTGGTTTGAATGTGCCTTATGAAGAACAGGAAGGGGTGATTTGCCACGAACTTAGCTCGGATGGGGAGTCTTTTTACGATGAAGCTGTCGCCAGTGGCTGCTGCTGCCTCAGTGCCCTCTTCGTTGACATCCACATACGACTTGTGGATGACCTTTGATAAATATAGGCCCTTGGCTGGTGATATTCCGGAAAGATCGGCTTTGATCTGGTTGAAGATATCTGTCATCCCGAGGGATTTTAAGAGGGAATTTAGCTCGTACTTGATTTCCAGTTTGAATCGGGGGATGTGGACTTCAACTTCCCTTTCCATCATGTTAGAAGAGCTGGTCCACTCATAAAATGTCTTCACATTCAGCTGCTTTTCTATCTAAGAGACAAAACACAGATGAGCCCACATGAGCCAAGCGTACATCCTCTGCATTAAATGCTGTATGCTTTATAATTCTCAGCGTGAGTGATTCAATATCATCGCTTTCTTTTCTATCTTTAAAATGTGCCTAAGTCCTATCTGGGAAAAAAGACAGCATCTTGCACTCAGCCACACCTTCCCTTTTCTATTCTTTCTATTCTTCTCATCCATATTTCATAATTAAACTCCTCAAATGTGTATCTTACAATCGTTTGCCTTAATTCCCTCAGCGTGTAGGTTTCACCAAATCTCTCTCTTGCCTCTGAAGTCACCATGTTCCCCTTTCCTGGATGAAGTCAACCATTTATTCTTGGTTCTCATATCTGAAGCATTTCATCATAGCTTCCTTTATGAACTGGTTTCTCACGCGGCTTCTCTGACACCAGGACGCCTTGATTCCACCTGCTTCAATCCCCTCACGTCCTTCTCCCTCATTGTCTCTCTTGGCTCCTCCCAAAGCTGAACTTTGGACGCCCTTTATGCTTCCACCTAGCAATTCCACTCCTACGTCTGTGCTCAGATTTCCGACAGCAGCCTCATATTCTCCATCCAGTTTCATAAGTTTTTACACACCCTTCAAACTTCTCCCCCTGGGCATTTGGAGCCCTCCCCACAGCTCCAAAGCGGGATGTCACACTCCATCATTCTTTTACTACAAGAGTTGAAAACTTTTTGTCACCTTCTTCCCATCCTGACAATATAAAATCAGACGTAAAGTAAAGGTGGTTTTTCTTTCTGAGCATCTTTTCCTTTCGTCCTTTTCTGCCCTGATCCAAGTTACCATGACGTCATGACACCAACCCATCTCATGCCTCATCCTTCCAAGGCATTCACACGGGCTCTTTGCTCCGGTTAGAACAGGGTGCCCTTGTTCTGCCTAGTCATCCTCTACTCATCCAGTGAGACTTGCTTCGATTACTCTGCTAGGAAACCTTTCTGATCCCCTCATGCTAATTTAGAGCCCCCCTGCTTCCATAGGACTTTCTGAAGAGTCTATCATGGCTCTTGTTACATGACATTTATAACTCTATGTTGGAACCACGTATTTGTCTGTGTTTCCAGAACCCAGCAAAGTTCTCAGCACACAGTAGACACTCAGTGTTTGGTGTATGAATGAGTAAATGAACAAATAAACGAAGGAATCGCAAGTGCATAAAGACCTTCTACACCGCTTCCAGAATGCTATCTGCCTCCCAACATCTTCCACCGCAGCCCACCACAAGCCACAGGAGGCTGAGCACCTCCGAATGGACCACACCTCTCCCACACCTGCTCTCATGGCCAGGGCTGTGCTGCTCTTCCTAAAGGTCCAAATGCATACATCCCAGCACAGGTCTTTCAAGAAGCTTGCCCTACCCCTGACCCATCTGTGCCACATTGTTATTACCGTTAGCAGGCATTCCCTGACTGTGGCTATCCCATCCGTGTGTGTATATGAGCTTCCCCAAGATCCCAGAAGCTCAGCTGGTCTCCTAAGAAACTGTCTGTCATGTCTAGCACTGGGAGGTCCCAGCAAGGCTGGGGAGGGGGCGTGGTCACTCTATATCAGTCGCTTGCCTGCCGTCTACTAGGCAGCTTTGGGGAGAGGAGGTTAGACCCAAATTCCCTCCACCACCATGACGTCTTCTCAGTGGTTGTGGCACTCATTTCTCCACAAAACCAGGACACTAAAAATGATGGGTAACCCATGACAGTATGTTACATTTGGATCAGAAATACTACTCCTGAGAAGAAGACGGCTTTATCAGATTTCTGTGCACTGGGAGCCCAACCAGCATTATAATTTCATTACTACAGAAAGCTGTTTCCCAAGTGTCAAATGACCACTATGTGTGTGTATTTGTAAACATGGCACTTTGCCTCCATATGCCTTTTTTTGTGTAAGAATAGACTGTTCTCCCTAAATACTTTATCCTGAAGGCAGGGACCAGGTGTTCCCCCTTTCCTCTCACAGCCCCTGGGGCAATACTGCTAAACCTAGGGTGTGACTGAATTAGTGATTAGCAGATATTTGGTCCTGTCCAAAACATCCATAAGCATATTTAGTCCACATAAAATGGTTTTGGACAGGACCAAATATCAAGGACCTTTTGGGATGGACCAAACATCTTATGGATGTTTTGGACGGGAGCAAATGTTCTGCAAGGGAATTAGTGACTGACTGCACTAACATCATGGGATACATATAGGTGATGGAGGGAGAGTGTGGATGTGTGTGCACATGTGCACACACATGCATGCTTTTGCTACACGTTAGCATTCTTGTAACTTTACCTGTTCTAGATTAGCCGTGCCTACTGGAAGCAGAATAATCATGCTTAGTTTGTTGTTAACGTAGGGCAACTCAAGAACTTGTATCTGTGGCTCCTTTATAAAGGCCAGTTTAAATGTTCCAGTTTGATACATCATTTCCACAATTACGCTTTTACCCTATTTTCAAAAAAAAGGTTGTAATTAGATGGTACAGTTACATATGTGCGTGCACATATATGTATACCGATTTTCTTGCATAACATGAATATCTGCATTAATACTCTAAAGGCATGGGTAAAACTACAAAATACACCCTTTATTATTTTCCTTTGCAAAGTTTACAAATTTTTTTATTTTACAATGAGTCCTTGTTAGAGCCTGAATAGTTTGAATAATATATATAGTAATAAAAACAATAATATATATGTTTGCCAAAAACAAAGTCAGGGTTTCCAGCTAATATGATTCATGTGGAAAAAATGATATCATAGGATCTTTTCCTTTTTTAATCCAATGAAATACTATAGGAGAAAAATAATACAGATAATTTTGTTGTGCTGCTAGAAAAAATAACCACAGCATAAATGGAAAGGATGCACAGATAGGAGAACAGTAAGGAAAGAACAGATTTTCTTCTCTGCCAGGGCATCCTGGTGTCCAGAGGCTCCAGTTAGGTGTCCTGTGAGAAAGTTTACGGTCATTTCATAAGGAAAGATGAGAATAAAATTCACAGAAAACACAATTAAAAGAACCTATGGAAACCAGGACCAATATTTTCACTAAAGTTTTTAAGTTGTCTTTAAATGATTATTGCACTCTCCAAAATTTATCATCAACCTGGAAAGGAAATACGTACCTCACTTAGCCGAAAAGGAGTTTTCACTGTCTCTCTTTCCTGAAATTTATTTTGCCATTGTCCTTTGAAATATATAGCATTCACCAGAACCATTACACAGGAAGGGTCAATTGTGCCCTTTCCAAAGAGGTTTGTGATTTTTCCTTGCAGTAAAAAAAAAATAATAATACATAATGTGTTTGGATTTGAACGTATTGACAATAGAGAGTTGAACAGTCACAAGAAATTTGGACCCATTTCTTCTTTAAGGCTAATTGTAAATTTGAGATGCCAGAAGAACTCCCTCATCCCCTTGCCGTAAAGCCTGTCCTTGTCAAGTGAAGTTTATTTCAAAGAATATTGAATGCTCTGTTATTTCTAATCAGAAGATAGCATCCAGGGAATAACTAGTATATTAGCTATGGATCAACTTGTCTTATCCCTAGTCATATCCAATGCTTTCTTATACATTATTGCTTATTTAGAAAATTCTTTAATAATTTCTAATGGCTTACCTTTAACATTTATCAGGCTTTATACTTACCAGGACCTCACCACATGCAAATATGTTAAGTATTCAAAAGATTCACTCATTCCTTCATTAATGTGTTACAAGCATATATCAACACTTGAAGTAAACATGTATCTGAAAATTAGGATTTATAAAAATATACCTGGAGTCGCTTACTTTGTAACTATACTGATCAAAATTGAACACCAAGCCTTCTTGGTGCATATTGGTGCATTGCCCTTTAGAAAGCCTTTTTGGAATATAATCTGTCATACAGTATGAAACACAGGGATGTCTGGAACATCAGACTCTAAGCTTGATGAGAGTTTTAATTTTCATTGAACTTCTGGGCCTACCACAATACCTAGCATGCAATAACAATAGCTAACATTAAGTGCTCAATATAAATATTTTGAATGAGTGGATAAACATATAAATGAATTACAAAATAACAGTAATATTCTAAGTAAATACACAGCATATAGATTCCTAATGCACACCCATGGCAGACAACACTAATCAATCTATTCATTTATGCTAAAAATTTTAGGCGACTTCTATTGCCAGGCAATGTTCTAGGCACTGGAGCACTAAACTGAGGCTGGAACACTAAACAGACAAAACTTCCAACCATCATGGAGTGAACATCCTAGTGACTCAATTGTGGGCTTTGTCAGGTAACCTTAGTTTAAGCCTCAGACTTTTTCTCAACACAGAGTTACCAGGCAGCCACTTGCAGTGGTCAGAGTTGGCATGTGACATAAAACACACTTTTACTCTACTATACTAAGTAAATTAATGGATCTGAAAAATGTATAGACCTTTCCAAGCATTTTCTAACTGAATACAAAGAATTGAGTAGATACATATTTTAATGTGATCACCTATTACTAAATTTGAATAATATCCATCAGTCCATCAATCAGCAAAATACTGTTGAGATCTCATCACTAAGTGATATAATAAGATACAAATATGTTAGAAAACATGGTTTTTATGCTCAGAGAAGTATTTATTTTATATTACTGACATGTTCTTCATAAATGCAACTAGCTCTAATTTAATACTTTTATGTTATTTCATCCTAATCTTAATTTGTTATTTAATAAACTTGACTCTCTCCCATATCAGGAAATATGATTGTACACATTGCAAGACTTCATAAACTAATGGTACTAATGGTTGGTGGCATAACCACACAGAGAAGGATTATTTCAACATGATAATTTGACTGTACATCTCTAGTGGGGTATACTCTAAGGACAAAAAGAACTGCAAAAAAGATCTTAAGCTACTATTGTTGACTATTTTATTAGTATTGTTACTTTTAGACTAATGGGTACTTTTGGATGAGGTCATTGTGCAATAATATTGGTGACATGGAAACTGGGATTTTCAACATAAGATAAAGGAGAAATAGATGTAAAAAAGTGGGATGTTAGGTAAAAATCCTGTGAATCTGAATTTGAATTGGCCATATCAGTAAGAAACTAAAATTTCTAAATATATTTCATCTAAATATATGTATTTCCTAGTTATGTCCATTGAGAAGGTGTAGAAACAATGATCAAACAAGTAGCACAGAGCACTCTTATACCTAGATTATGGTTTCTAAAGATCATTTCTCACTAAAAGGATCCAGGGTGACTTGGAGAAGTAGGCAAGTCTAGGTCAGGGACAGGAAAGAACAAGATGAGCCTGGAACTTTTGGTCAAATAAGAAAGCAAGGAAGCTATCAATTCTACAAGGGTTGTCAAAGAAACTCAGGGGCCAATATGAATGTGTCCCTTGACTAAAAGGGAACAATTTGAGCTTCAATAGATTGAAACATCTCAAACGTTTACAAGTATGAATTCATAATAATAATTTTTTTAAAAACTCATTGACTACTTTAGAGGATGCTGGGGGGAAAAAACATTATTTTGAAAACTGATATTGAAGAGAAAGAGTCCAGCATCCTTTTGTTGTTTTATTTTTCTTACATGAACTATACTTAGGGTAACCAAATACTTTATGAGGATGTTTCTCATATGAAAATATCTCAGCTTATAAAGGAAGAAGGAATGCAAGAATTGGAACACTGCAACTTTATGGTTGAGTGAAATAACGGACCTAAGTCAATAATCATCAATTTTGATTACATGAAATTTTAAAACAGGCAGAACTAATATATAGCAATAGAAGTCACAGAGGTCTTAACACCTGGTAATGAGGTGAGTTAGTTTCTGGGAGGAGACATAAGGGTGGCCTGGGAGTGCCCTTCCCAGTAACTACTGTTTTATTTCCCTGACCTAGGTGGTGGTACATAAGGGTATTCATCTTTGTGATAATCCCTACTTTGTGGTAATTCACTGAACAGCGAACATGTAATGTATGAGCTTTTCCGTAAGTATGTATATTTCAATCAAAAAAGTTTATTCTAAAAATCAAGATTCAAGGGACTTAGCAATCAATTGCAATGTACAAACATTATTTGGATCCCAATTAAAAGAAAAAAGAGGCAATTGGGGAAATAAACAAACTCACTGAATATTTGTTAATATTAAATGATTTTAAATTTTCTACGTGTAATAATGGTGCAGTGGTCATATTACAAAACAGCCTATGTTTTTGAGAGGAACAAATTCAGACATATATAGAAAAATATATGTGATATCTGGAATTGGCTCCAAAATAATTTGGAAGAGGTGGTGGGAAAAGGGTTAGGGTATAAATAAACACAGTTGGCCTTAAGTAATAAATATTACAGCTGAGTGATGGGTAAATAAGGATTCATTATATCATTCTCTTTACATTTTTCATTAACTAGATTTTTTTTAAAAAAAGAAATGAACGTATCTTTGGCACTAAATATTTAATCTGACATTTTTAAAAGGAAATATTTAACAATATATAGAGTTTATTTTAAAATTGTGAAAGATAGATTTAAATTTAATTGCATAATATACAACACTTCTATCAAGTAGAAATGATATTCTCATTCTCAGAGTCACTTCACATAGATCCTCTAGGACAAATGATTTTAAGGGATACTGCACAATATTCCCCCATTTCCTCCATGGTTGATCCACCTATGTCAGGTTCTGGACCTCACCTACCTTCCTCGTTAGCATTGACTCAGGGTTTACCAACACAGCACAAAGGGTGGAGACTTGTCTGACATATCCTTACCATTAGTTTTACTTTCCACCCAAGCGTTAATCGTTTTCCTCGTTTCTTCTGTAGACCGTTCAAAATCAACAGTTTGCGGCGTGGCTTGATATAATTTTTCAGAACAGCTTAAATATTGCTGTAAAAGAAAGGACAATTGCACAACAACACAAAAATAATGTCAGGAAAACAAAAACCTACAGCTTGATGTCTTCTAAAATCACAACACGCAGACAAAAGCAGCTTGTGTATATATGTCTGACGGAAGTGGAATCCATACTTACTTATTCTTAATAAAACATAGAAATTTAACCAGATCCAAAAGCTTTCCAAAAGTAATGTTCAGAAATGTTTGATTGTTACTTCTGTCATACATTGGCATTCTTAGTTTCAAAATGTTCAAAGCAAAATGACAAATTGCTGTACAGTGCAGACCTTGTCACTCTATCCCTACTCTTTCCTCTTCAAAGCTGACAAATGAAAGGAAGCTACTGTCCTAACATTCTAGATAGGAAAACTGAGGTCCCAAGTGATGAAGTGACTTGTTTGTTTGAGGTTTAACTGAAAGTTAGGTCTCTTGGTGGTACATTTCAACCTCCCTACAAGCCATCATAAATATAATTAATAAAAATATTCTCTGATGTAAACAATTGACACTTTTGTCAACTTTATGTAAAATGTGAACAAAAACATCTAGGGGCTGGCCAGTGGCATAGTGCTTAGGTTCACGCACTCTGCATTAGTGGCCCGAGGTTTGCAGGTTCTGATCCTGGGCATGGACCTACATACCTACCCCTCATCCAGCCATGCTGTGGCCACGCCCCACATGCAAAATAGAGGAAGATTGGCACCGATATTAGCTCAAGGACAATGTCCCTCAAACTAAAAGAAGAAGATTGGCAGCAGATGTTAGCTCATGGCCAATCTTCCTCACCAAAAAATATATATATCTCTCTTTTAAGGAATTCACCATTTTATTCACCTATAATCTATTATCCAAGTGAAAATGTGTACAAATTCAGTATGAAGAACCTAGCCCTTTCTTTTAACCAAATTCCCCACCCCAAAAGTGACCCCCATGTAGCATTCTGGAGCCACCACTGATTACCACCCATGGCCCTTGATTCCTAGAACTGAGAACTTTCCAGTACTTTACTGCCAAGGCAGCAAACAAATCTACATGGACTTAAATGAAATTGCCTGCGATTCCATTCTTGAGACCTTGGGGACATACCTGTACAGTCCAGCAGGACCCAGTGCCCCACCATGAACTGAGTGGGATGATATAAGACTTGGAAATATGGTAAGTAAGAAAGTGGCTGCCTGGGATTTGGCTTGTCGTTTGCTTAACTGGGTTCTTTTGTACCTAAACTCTGTGTGGAACAAAAGGAAAGCTCAATTAAGAGGAAGATCTGGGCCTCAGCATGATTCTTGTCCTAAGCTGGGTCCAATTGTGGCTGGAACAAGATTAAGTGACTGCCCATAACCCATGAGATGGGAGTTTCTCCATGCAGAATCCTGGGATAATAATATCTTAGGACACAGATCGCAACAGTCTTCATGATACTAATGAGGAGCTTCATGCTTTGGGAACAGATGCAGTTGTTATGATCCCAAATCAACATTTATCCACTATTATGTCCAGATCACTGTTTGGAGAGACAAAGAGATGAGAGAGAGTGTGTTCCAACTCCAAGGACCACGATTGTTAATCCCCAGCACTTCAGGCACCTGCCACAAAACATTCCCTATATGCTTCTAAGGCAGTAGAAGGAAATATCTCTGAAGTATCTACAGTACCATGGTGGGCTACCCCAAGTTGCAAAAATTCTGACAGTCAAAAACTTGTCCCATATAAGACAAAGCCTGCAACATCAGCTAGGGGAGAACATTAGAAATTCAGGGCTGCATTCTGCTTTACCCAGCTGGCATTTAAATAACACCAGTCAAACAAAAGCTGTATCACCAAAGCTAGCATTTAATCCTCAATCACAGCAGGATGATGTAACAATTAAAAACAGGAAGACAGATTTGAACAGGGGTCAATCCAACCTTTGCCACCTAATTATCTTTGTGATCTTTGCAAACCTGACTTTTTAGAATCTGCTTCACAACTGTAGAATTAATGGCAATTTTGTCCCTATATCTTAGGACTACATAAGGATTATATGAGATAATGCCTATAATATAGTAAGTAGAGTGAACATAGTAAATACTCGATAAAACTATTGATTACAATGCTGTTAGGAAATGGCTTAAATAGTGTCGGAATTTGGGAGCTAGAAAGAACTTAGTCTAATCCTCCCATTTTAAAGACTGATGTGACTTGCCCAAACTCATTTGTTTAAATGGGAACAGAACTCAGATCTCTCGGCACTCAATCCAGGGTACTTTCCACTAACTCCAGATACTCTGCCATTAAGGACCTTTGAAGAAGAGATGAGAAACGTATTTTGGTTTTCTTCTGATACATAAGGGATAACTCTTACCTACTTTGTTCTGTGCTTCATCCCTGACCTTGGTTCTTGAACAACTTTGGTGATTTTGCAGAAGTAAAGTTTTTATGTGATATTTCACAACTTTAAATGAGAGTTTGGTAAAACCATTCACTGAAACTCTAAGTCAGCTCAAATATAATCTCTTAAAGATGAATGCCATGTGATTCTTCTCACTCTTCATTTATTTTATGGTGTGAAAATCAGAGGATGCCAAGAAAGCTGTTGACCACCATTCCAGATGGACTTACCTGATGGAACGCCATTGCCTTTGTCCCATAGAGTCTGTTGGCAATGCTGAGGGTGTAGTTGGAGTCTGGCTGGTTGATTTGAGAGAATAGGACTCCAAACTCTGAATGAATATTTCCAGTTTGGCTGCACTGAAGCCCCAGGAAACAAAGAATGGAGTATTAAATTGCTTGATTTCTTACTATTAGAGAGTTACAAATAATGTGAAAACAATAGCTGGAGAATAAGGTCTTTGAATAAAAGGGCAGTGAATACTAACAAACAAGGAATTGAAGAGTTTAAGGCATCTTCCTTCTCTAGATTTCCTCTAGCACAATAATCTCAACACTGTGACTTTGGTTACAGATTGTGGGCAGAATTGTAAGCCATTGCAAAACACACATGCACTTGGCCCCAGTGGTTTAAATCAAAAGCAGAAGTTTTCATTAAAGAGATCTCAGCAGAGTATTCAGGGCAATGATCCAAGTTTTGTTGCTGCCTTTGTATGTATAGCATCCTTTCTGTTCTCTATCACGCTCCTATCAATGTCTTCATTTTCTGTGTGACCATTTAATCAAACACTTCAGCCCTTCACTGAATTGACCTCACACACCCATCTGTCCCTCACAGGAGCAATTCAGTTAAGCCTGCAGCTATGATGCATCTGAATTCATGGACATTATAGGAGTTATGCCTATATTCCCTAAAGCAAGCTTCCCAAGCTATGGGCTTTAATCTCCTAACAACAAGTTGGATTCTGTGAAGCAAGCATTCTGTGAATCTATACACGTTTATATATTTTCTTAACCAAGCACAATCAAATACATAACTATTTTCATGTGGGAGTTCTAAATAATTTTTATGTCAAAAGGAATCCTCCTACTAGAAAGAAACAGGGATCATAATCCCAGGGCATGTGATTTGGGCAACATCAGGCCCTGGTTTCCTGGTATATAATTATATGGCGAGGCATCAGGGTCATTTCTCAATCCCCTCACTGGACTGAAAGAGTCTAGCATTGCAGAGATGAGACAGGCAGACTCAATATGAGGCATAGCCCATAAAAGAACAGAAAAGTTTGAGTAAGGATGACAATAAACCACATGGTAAGTCTGCGGGACTTTATTATGGTTGCTATTATCATTATGTTAAACGCTATAGTCCACAGTGATTATCAGGAAGATTAAAGGAAGAGACCAAGGGAGACATTACAGTTCTTATGGCCCAAGGGGGCTCTACCACTCAACCCCTGGACTGTTATTTCTTGGTGCTCTTACATTAAAGAGCATTTGACAGCTCAGCAGTGATATTATCATACCTTAGATGAACCCGTAAACCTTGGTTTTAACGATCCTGCAATATGGTTAAAGTGAAGCACCTACAAAAAGAAAGAGGGACTGATTGGCATAAAAAGCAACATACAGTCCATAAAGGTTAACAGTTACAAGTATCTGGTTTTCCATTTCAGATAAAGACCAATTGTAAAAGCTAACATCTAATGATGTTGTATTCCAAACCCTGAACTAAGCCTTTATATGCCTTACTTAACCCTCCTAACTACTTTGTGAATAGATCTACTATCCCCATTTCATTAGGGAAATTGAGTTCAGGGAAGAGAAGCAACTCTCCCCAGACCATTGTCTGTAGGCCACAGGGACAGAGCTCTTATGCACTAGGTTCTTCTGTCCCCCTCCTACTGTTCTCCAGTCATGCATTCCATTCCTTCACTGTGACAGTGCCCATCCAGAGCCACATAAGACATTACGTGGTTTCCCAGCACAATACCTATCTTAAGTACAAGAAAATCATGAAAGTCCATCAAAATATAGAATAAAGAAATAAAAGACAAACAATAATATGTGCAAATATCCTCAGAGTTGTTAAGTGACATTCTTCTACACTTCCTACAGCAATAAAAAATAAATATATATAATGGAAAAATGACTGCAGATTAGCTATATAAACTGAAAAGTCACCCTTTCTCTCTTAGTCTCAGTTTCCCCATCTGTAAAATGGAGATAACAATTTTTACCTTCCAAATGAGGTTGTTATGATGTTCAAATGTACTAATGAATATTTTTAAAACCTTGATAACTTTTAAAGTGTCATTAAGTTTTATTATAAGTTAAACTTCTAGAAGGCAAGAATAAAACGATCCATGCATTCTCTATCATATCTACATCATTAAAGGAAGGAACTCTAAAAGTAAACTGCAGAGATTTATTTGTGCTAACACTGATAGTAAGGAAGAGACTAGATATTGCGTGTTTTGTGTTATTTGCATTATAATGTATTGCATTATTTAAGCCATTGTCTATTTTTAAGAAATATGATTTGTCTAAATGTGTTTTTTCTTTCGCAAGATGGTGGAGTTTTCTTGGTATAAGATGTAAGTAATTTGGCAGACCCAGAGGGGGCGCATGTAAGACTTTCAGGCTATGGGGAAGTCTTTGCTACATTCCATACCTTTTCCATCTGCTCTGCACTGTTTCCTCTGGCACCAAGGAGGATCATACTCAGCGCATAAAGCAGACTCAGTGGGGAAAAGAAGATGTTATCTCCTGCATTGTTACTGTTCAGCTCTTTGAACATATCAAGGCAAAATTCAACATTTGCTCTGCTGAGGGAATCCATTTTATGCCAAGCACTACCTGTGAACAGAAAGGAAAGAAAGCTCAGAATATCACTTGGAGGTACAGATAATATCTAGAGTTCAGTTACTCTTAAATATGAATTCAAGAGTCTGAGCACACTGCTTGTGAAAAATTACACAGTCATCGCAACTTCTGAGAAATGAGTGAATGCTAAAGGAGGAATTCAAAGGAGTTTTAAATTTTAATGAATAGAAGATTTACTCTTCTTTCCAACCAGTAGTTCAAAGCTATCTCACTATCATTTGTGTACATTTAAAAATCAGATGTAGGGGCTGGCCTGGTGGCATAGTGGTTAAGTTTTCATGCTCTGCTTCTCTGGCCCATGGTTCACAGATTTGGATCCCAGGCACAGACCTAGCACCACTTGTCAAGCCATCCTGTGGTGGCATCCCAAATAAATTGGGGGAAGATTGGTACAGGTGTTAGCTCAGGGCCAATCTTCCTCACACACAAAAAAAATGAGATATAATTGTTCTAGAGCAAAAGAGCAGAAGGAATTGCAAGTTTGGGTTTCAATGCTTTAAGACATTCCTCATCCTGAAATTTGTACAGAAAAATTCTTGAGCAACACAAGCTCAGCCAAATGAGATACCTTCCCACTAGACTGCTCGCCTTCACAGCCTCACAGGAGGAGAACACTTCCATCCTGGTCATTCGTGCACAAACAAGATGAATAATAAATAAAGTAAACCTGGGCAACATTCTGCTCATTTCCTTTATCCTCCATGAAAGTGAGGCAACACCAGAAAATAGGTCATGCCATGAGAAGGTGGCCAAAGCCCTCAGCCCAGGGCCACAGCAGGATGTCAGTGAAAATGGAGGACTGGATGAAGAAAATCTGAGAGAAAAAATGGTGATGCTGGGATGTGTGTTATCTAAGGACAATGGCATGTCAGGAAGGAAGAGTCTATTTTACTCAATCCCACAGACACTCACTGAGCACCACTAACTGCAGGGGGCTGTAGCTATAAAAATGATCAAGAGTAGCTCTGGCCCTAGGGAGGTTTCATTCTTCAGAAGCCTCCATTGCCGTCAAACACTTTCTTCTTTTAACTTCTAGGTCATCATTCTCTCTTGGTTCATTACCTACCTCATTGGGCCACTCTTTCTCAGTCTTGGTTGCAGGATCTTTCTCACATTCTCAACCTCTATACATCAGAACACATCAGGATTCAAATCTTGGGCATCTTCTCCATTTACAGTCATACAGGTGATCTCATCCAACTTCAAGCTTTAAATGTCACTGATATGCTATTAGCACTGGAATTTATATTGCCTCTGAATTCCGGATTCATATATCCAACTGCTGACTCAACATCTCCACTTGAGTGTTGAATATGTGTCTCAAACTTAACATGTCTAAAAACAGACTTTTGACTTCTAACCCTCTCTCCAGCCTGCTCCACCAGCAGCTTTCTTCATCTCCATAAATGGCAGTTCCATTCCTCCATTCGCTCAGGTCAAAAATCTTTGGATCATCCTTATAAGCCTTTTTCACTCATATCACATTGAGTCTATCAAAAAATCCTGTTTTCTCTACGTTCAGAAATATTCACCATCTGCCCATTTCTCACCATCTCCAACTACCACCCAGGTCAAAGCTATCATTGTCCCACTCCTGGATTATTGAAATAGTCTCCTAACTACATTTTCCTACTTCAGTTCTTACCCTCCTCTGTTATATTTTCTAGAGAAGATAGAGTGATATTTTAAAAATATTAGTTAGTTATGTATTAACTGCATAAGAACTACTTTTGGCCTCTGCTCAAAAATTCCAGTGGCTTCTCTTTCTCTCAGAGCAGAAGCCAAACTCCTTCCCATGACCAGTCTCCCACCAGCTCACTATGTTCTTGCCATGTCACCTCCTTGCATTCCTTCAACATGCCAAGCAGATCCCACCTCAAGGCCTTTGCACTTTCTATCCCTCTTCTGGGATGCTCTTCTCAAAAACACTCAAGTGGTTCACTCCAGCAGTTTATTTGCCTCTCTCTGATCAGATGCATATCACCAATAAGACTTTCACTGACCATTCTACTTGAAATATCAGCCCGCATCCCTCCAGCTACCCTCCATTCCATTTCCCTAGTTTATATATATTATATATATGTATATTTATATAAATTAAATAAATTTATATTCATTTATTTGCCCTATATATTATAGACACATATTTTTATTTGTCCTATATATAATATATATGTATTTATATAAATATAAATAAACAACATTTATATTTATTTATATAAATTAAATACATATATATCATACATGTATTTATTGTCTTATCCCCCTCTCTCTAGAGTACAATCTCCATTAAAGCAAGGGCTTTCTTTTTTATGCTTTATTCTAGCATCTAGACTAACCCTGGCCATAGAGTAGCCACTCACTAAACATCTGTGGAAGGGAGAAATGAAGGAAGAAGTTTCAATCCAATCAGTTCTATGATACACAGGTGTACACAGAATATTGTGAAAGCATAGAGGAGAAATAGAGAGCCAACCTGAGAGATACAGCAAGACTTCCTGGAGGAGGTGGTGTCCCTGCTGCTTCTTGAAGAATGAAATGAGTCATCCAAGTATATGCACGTAGGAAAATCATTACCAACAAAAGGAATAGCATGAACAGAGACTCAAAAACCCAAAAGAGAAAGTATATTACAAGAGCATGAAGTAGGAGGCCAAAGGTGGTGGGTAGTAAGTCTGTAAAGAGGCAGAACTGTGTCCTTGGAAGTCTTGCATGCATCACTGAGGAGAAATTAGAGAGAACCCTAGAGAGGTCACGATGGAGTTGGGTTTCCATGCCATCCATCCATCTAGTCAAGAATTCGTATAATCTTCATGATATATCCTCTTCTCCCTCTCTCTCCCTGTCTCTCTCTCTCTGTCTCTCTCTTCCTCCTCCCTCTTCTTTTCTCTCTTTCTCCTGACTTTATCTGATTCCCTTCTCAATGGTCTCCCTCTCTCATGTTCTCAAACTGCTCTATAAGCCACCATTGAAATGGTCTCCCATGATTACTCCATTGAGCACACCTTTTCTCTTTTCGAATACCTTCAAATTCTCCCCAGAAAGTACATTTAAAAAAATTGTTGATTGTCTACTATTCAACCCTTCCTTTCTATTCCTGTCTACTGTGATGAGAGAACCCAGATTTCATGTGGCCATGTTCTTCAGAGAAGGCATCACACTCCCTAAGCCTCAGGAACAAGCCTTGATTGGTTTAAGCCAATTTAGGTATTCTGTATCCTATGTCAGTGACTAGTTAGTACAAACTTTCAGTTATAAGAAGAAGTTCTAAGGATCTAATGTACATCATGGTGACTATAGTTAACAATACGGTATTGAATGCTTGAAAGTTGCTCAGAGTAGATCTTAAGCATTCTCACCACATACACAGAAAAGGAGTTAACTATGTGAGGTGATGGATGTGTTAATTATCTTGATCTTGGTAATCATTCTACAATATAGATGCATATCAAATCATCACATTGTACACTTTAAATATATACAATTATATCTGATAATTATTCCTCAATAAAATTGAAGGAAAAATAAATAAAATTTTAAAAATCAGAAGGTGCCACAATTTTTGTCAATAAGAAGGAAGTTGTTCCAGGGCTTCTGAAAAAGACTTTTGTTTGATATAAAGAGACCCACAGGAGGAAACCAGCCCTCTTCTTCCTCTCAGAGTTGTTTTGTCTTCATACGAGTACTATTGCACTAGCTAGTTTGTGATCCTGATGTAGCCAGACTAAGAGGATAAGCCAGGATGTCAGAGAAGACAAAGGAAAGAATGTGAGTTTTGATGACACACATTGAGTGGATGGATTAACCTACCCTGCCTCTGGCTTCCCATGGGATTTCTTGTCATCTAAGACAATAACTTTTCCTTATTGTTTAAGCCATTGTTTCCTTATTTTATAAGCCATTTTGGTTGAGTCTTCTATTACTTGCAGGGATTTCTTTATACACCCTTGTCTACCAGGACCAATTAGCCCACTTACCTCACATTCACTCTTTTCTAGCATAGTTACATCTTTCCCCTTTATTCAGTGCCCTAGGGATCTGGAACTGTCTTCTTCTTTTCCTTCTCAACTTCTAGATTACTCTTTTAGAATCCTAGTCTAGGCCTATATTCTCTAGGCTATTATGACAGGTGATCAGTCTATATCTCTGCCTATCTATATTTATTTTAGTTACTAAGTCATCTTGTTTTCAGCCAGTCCACATCTGAGCTGAGCTCACTGGAAGTGCATTCTCTGGGGTGTGACCCTGTTGGTTACCCACTTAGGCATTTGCGTCATGCTTCTCACTAAAACATAGTGCTTCGTGCACTGAGAGCCAAACAGAGGTGAGGGCAAAGGCCTAAGAACTGGGGCAGGGAGGAGAGAACACAGCTCAGCACTTACCAGGCCGAGAGAGACGAAAGGAAGTGTGTCACTTGTAGACTTTCAAAACAATGACCCTGTCATTTGTGTGGTAAAATAATGACCACACAGCCCCGTCATCGAAACTGGGTGTCCTGAAATAATCATTAAGGAGGAGATGCTATATATTCCAATCATCAGACCACCCAGCAGAGCATGATAGAGCCCAGCAGTTAGTTATATTATAACCAAGTCTGGACCATATTTTTCTTTGCTCTTGAACTTTTTTAAAGGTATAACACAAAGGTTTTGCTAATATTATTTAATGAAAATATTAGTATGTGTCTTTAACAGGATGCTGTTCTTCAAGTTCATTTTAATACAGCTCTCTGTAACATGTCTACTAGTGGCAGTATACTTGAAAGCCCTTTGTTTAGTTATTTTAATCATAAAACCATGTCCAATAATGAAGCATGTCCAAGTCAGACACTCTTCATATTGCATTCTGCCTTCTAGAGAATGTCAAGTTCTGGAATGTAATTTCAGATTTATAATAAATATAAATAAATATATAATAAATAATAAATATAAATTTATTCTTCTTAAAACTATGCCATATTGTTGTTATAAAACCCCCTGCCTACAGATCATAGCTACCATAGCCCTACAGTTACTGGGGCATCTAGTAAAAGAGTTTGGAATACATTGATAGACCACTTGCTGTGTGCCAGGCACTTTTATTTTATTTTATTAATCTATTTATTTGTTTGTGTTTTCTTTTTTTTTGAGGAAGGTTAGCCCTGAGCTAACATCCGCTACCAATCCTCCCCTTTTTGCTGAGGAAGACTGGTCCTGAGCTAACATCCATGCCCATCTTCCTCTACTTTTATATGTGGAACGCCTACCACAGCATGGCTTGACAAGTGGTGCATAGATCCACACCAGGGATCTGAACTAGCAAACCCTGGGTCGTCGAAGTGGAACGAGTGCACTTAACCACTGTGCCACCAGGCCAGCCCCTGTTTGTGTCTTCTCTTTGAACCATAAGCATAGAAGATTGAGGCTTCACAGCCCCTGGTTCTTGGCACAAGCCATCACTGGGCTACAGATGTCATTCTCTTCTTCGCTTATTGCCTTCAACCCCACACATTCCCTTTCTCCTCCATCCCCACAGACAACACTTGTAATTTGTTTAAAATATATTCTTTTATTTATATGTGTTCTTTTTTTCTTTTATTAAGATTATGATAGATTACAACCTTGCGAGATTTCAGTTGTACATTATTGTTAGTAATGTTGTGGGTACACCACTTCACCCTTTGCGCCCTCCCCCACCCTCCCTTTTCCCTGGTAACCACCTATCGGTTCTCCATGTTTATATGTTAACTTCCACCTATAAGTGGGGTCATATAGAGTTCGTCTTTCTCTGTCTGGCTTATTTCGCTTAACATAATACCCTCAAGGTCCATCCATGTTGATGAGAATGGAACAATTTGGTCCTTTCTATGGCTGAGTAGTATTCCATTGTGTATATATACCATATCTTCTTTATCCAGTCGTCAGTTTCTGGGCATTTAGGTTGGTTCCACGTCTTGGCTATTGTAAATAATGCTGCGATGAACATAGGTGTGCATGGGATTCTTGGGATTGCTGATTTCAGGTTCTTAGGATAGATACCCAGTAGTGGGATAGCTGGGTCATAGGGTATTCCTATTTTTAATTTTTTGAGAAATCTCCATACTGTTTTTCATAGTGGCTGCACTAGTTTGCATTCCCACCAACAGTGTATGAGGGTTCCTTTTTCTCCACAACCTCTCCAACATTTGTCACTTTTGGTTTTGGATATTTTTGCCAACCTAACGGTATAAGGTTATATCTTAGTGTAGTTTTGATTTGCATTTCCCTGATGATTAGTGATGATGAACAACTTTTCATGTGTCTATTGGCCATAGTTATATCTTCTTTGGAGAAATGTCTGTTCACGTCCTCTGCCCATTTTTTGTATATGTGTTCTTTTAACATATTGATTTCTTTATGTATTTTTTCATTTTCATAAATGAGCTTACATTGAATAGTTTATTTTTCATAGAACTACATTTTTAAGATTCATCCATCTTCCTCTGGAAACATAAACTGTTACTTCTAAGTACTATTTTTTGTGCTTTCACCACATTTTGCCTATCCACTTCTCAGTGACAGACACCCAAGTGGCCTCCTACTCCACACCATTACACACAGTGCTATGGTGAAACTCCTCATACACACCACCTTACACACCTGTGTGAGAATTTCTTTGTAAAGGAGATGGCTGAATCACAGCATTCATGTATGTGCCAGGCACCACACGTATGTTACTCAGAATGTTAAGGCTTGCAGGATGGGCAACACTACCCCAGTTTTGCAGCTGAGAGAGTGAGGGCTTAGGAAATCACACTCTGTGAGTGGGGGAGCCATGATGTGAACACAGTCTACCTCTTCTGAAACCTATGCTCTTTCCACTTGTCACCATATACCATTCAGATCAGCTTTTCTTTGAGATAAAATGATTTTACTTTTATTGCACTATGATTATTATCCCTATTTTATAGAAATAACATTTTAACAGAAAAATTAAGAAATTTGTCCAAGATATAAAGCACTGATAGACTTAATCTGACAGTTAATGTTTAATAAAGATAGTGGGGCTGGCCCGGTGGTGCAGCAGTTAAGTTCGCACGTTCCGCTTCTTGGCGGCCCAGGGTTCACCATTTCGGATCCCAGGTGCAGACATGGCACCGCTTGGCATGCCATGCTGTGGTAGGCGTCCCACATATAAAGTCGAGGAAGATGGGCACAGATGCTAGCTCAGGGCCAGTCTTCCTCAGCAAAAAGAGGAGGATTGGCAGTAGTTAGCTCAGGGCTAATCTTCCTCAAAAATAAATAAATAAATAAATAAATAAATAAATAAATAAAGATAGCATTATTTGCCTCATTCACAGTGAGATCTTACCATTCTTCAAGTATTTAGTTCACAGTACCATGAAGGAAAATGTTAGGTTCTGGTTTTTCTCAAAAATTTTTGGGAATACATAATTAGAATTGATTCATGAAATTTGGTATTTGGCCTATTCATTTGTAAAACAGAGTTTAAACTATCACTAACCTGGCACTTAAGATCTCTACTTTCTCCATTCTTTTTACAAAATTCCACCTTTCTAGCTGTTAGCATAGTTCTTTCGTGAGACGGTGTCTGTATCAGTCTTATATTCAACTCATTTTATGCAGGAACCTTAACTGACAATTTCCTCTACATCTAGGCAATTGTATTTATGTGTACATAGGTATATGGGGATGAATTTATAGATTTTTATACATTGAGTATGTTAGTCTTCCTTGCTAGATTTAACCTTCATTGAGGGCAGGGAAAATTTACCTGTGAAATTGATCAGTGTCTTGCATAACCACCCAGCAATCAACATGTATTAGAGAAAACAACATTCTAAATATTTTACAATTTCCAGTCTAATTAATATTACCCAGTCATTTTCAGGAGAGAGGAGACCCAAGGCCCATAAATTCCTACCAAGATGCACGGACCCCAGAGAAGCCTCCCTCTAGGTGGTGAGGGAAGTTGGAAGTGTCCCTAGAAATAGAAAGATTTCAAACTGAGCCCTCAAAGTGGGAAAGAATTGCAGAAATTTTCCTTTAGTGTACTTTTCTGCCTGCTTTTAGGGTGAAAGAAATCCCTCCCATGCAAAAGAGATGTGTGATCTGGAAGCTGTCATGGAAGAAAAAGAGAAAAAGAAATATGCCCAAGGCTGCAGCCCTTCTAGGTTGAGAAGGGGGATTTCTAGTCAGGAAATGAGAGGAGGGAACATGTCTTAGAAAGGGATAGTGATACTGAAGGATTGCAAGAGGACAGAGGGTCTGGGTCTGTCCTTTTGGGGAAATACATCTCCAAGGGCGGTTAAGATCTCAAGTTCTTACGACCTGGAACACAGCCTGGGTATGTTCTTACTCACTTCACAAAACTCTTCTTTCTGACCTAACCTTACTAGTGCCCTCTCCTCTTCCCCAAATCAGAGCCATTCTTTTGTTCTGTCCTTCAAACTTCATAAGTTTCACAATATGCTCATTTCATAGAAGTAGCAGGAACTTCGGAATGGTCACCCTATCACACACACAAACCATGAGACTTCACATCCATTTACAGAATACACATATTACTTCAGAGATTAATTTTGAACCCATAAGAAGAAATTGAGGCCTGGGAAAATAAAAGAATTCTCCCCAACAGATAAAGTTATTAATAAGGCCAGTCAAGTGGAATTTTAAGATCTTCTAGGGAACTAAGAAGTGTTTCATCACACAGAGGCCACAGCCACGTGTGACTTGCTCTGTTTTGAATAAGGGTTGTTAGAGGGTAAGTAGAAAATATCGAGTTCCCTTTTGCTAATCCAATCAGAGATTTGAAATCAAGTCAGCCTGCCTCAAGGATTTTGAAATGCACACTACCAATGACATTCAGACACGTTAATGTCTTCATTAAGGGGTCAGCTAAAGCCACACTCAATTAAAGAACCAGCTGCCCCTCAACCGCCTCACTGCACACCTCTCCAAAGCCATATTTTACTGCTCTCCTCTCTTCCCCTTTGACAACAAGCACACCTGAAATGACAAAATACAGAGACACTTCTCTTTACCTTTGTTGCTTTCCAGTGGTGACGTGGACAGTTTGGCAGGTGAGACTGGAGCTGTGTCCCTCAGGAGGAAATATAAAGCCTTTACTTTTTGCCCCTCCCTTTTCATTTGTGATTCAGCTCTACACCCGCTGGGCGGAAAGTACAGCCCTGAGAAGGAAGTCTCTCTAAAGGCCACCCAGAGCTGCTCTGAATCCCCGGAGACTCAGGATGGCTGGTGCTTTCTGGAGAAGCACCCAGTTCTTAACCTCCTTCTGCTTTGCTAATGGGGAAAAATTTACAAGCCTAACCTCTACTCAAGAAAATAAACTTTCTAAAAAGAATAACTTGAACACATTTCAGGTTGCCAGAACCATATTCAAAATTCCAGGGATTCCCTGTGCCAGTGTGCATGGCACAAAGCTACCCAACAGGAAAGATTCCAGCCATGAGGGATGCTTCCTGGCCTGAGGCACATTCATCCCGAGGCCTTCTGAGCTCTCCTGCACGGAGCATACGTTTTTATGTGGAGCTTCAGCAATGTGCTAGCAGGAAATTCCTGTCCCATAAAAAGAAGACAAGAATGAGCTCAAGCAGGAGTTATTCTGTGGCTTCAGTTTAAAGGCTTGGTAGGAGCAATGTCATCCCTCCTTAGAGTGAGCTCTAAGGTGTGATTCAGTACATGTAAGAAAGATTATAGATTAGGGGTAGGGATGAAAGCTGAAGACGAAAAAATATTTGGGGTGTGCAGCGTCCAGAATCAACATCACTAGACAAGCCTAGTTTCCCTTTCTTGCCCCCATAATACACAACCCAGTCTCCCAAGTTGACATCACTGCCCAAACTTATGATGGCAGACTACACTGCAGTTATGAGAAAGTACTTTACGGCCAGTGATTTTTCTCTTCATCCTCGGTGTGCAATATGTCCTCCTTTAGTCAAAATTAAATCATTCTATGAGACACAGACATTCTATAAGACACTAGAGAAGTTGTGTTTAAAATTAAGTCCCTAATATCCCCTGTGCAGATAAGGTTCTTATAAGAATCGTTGAATCCAATCAACCACACAGAACTAAAAACAGTCCCAAATTTGTCCAGTCTTTTTCTGTTCAGATCAAGTGTTTTCTGACATGAGCCAATTTGAGCTGGTGGTTTCTGTAGCTTGAAAGCCTCATATCCATGGTTAGGGTTGATCCTCTACCTAATCATTTTATTTTCATCTCCCTTGAGATCCAACAAGAAAAGGACTGATTTTCTTAGCTTTCTTGCTATCTAAGAATTTGGTTGATCAAAGAAGTTCTTTTCATCCTTGGTATAGATTGTACCCCTCTTATCTTCCCTATCAGAGGGGAAGTTCTTATACTCCATTTGATTTTTCCTTCCAAGTGGAAGGACATCCATTAGGATAACACTTTGCCTCTCTTCACTCTCTCATTCACTCCTCCTCCCCTAGTGTCTTAGCTTAGATTTTCTGAAAACAAAGCCTTACACAAAGTCTTGCATGCATGTAGTTTACTTGGGAAATTATCTCAGGAAATAGAAGTGCAAGGAAAAGAGGAATGAAACAGAGAAAGAGGGAAAGCTAATACAACAATTGTTATAAGTTGTCCACTGATACCTAATCCCATGGATCTTCGAAGGAACTTTATAAAATGTATCTCAGAACTGTCCACCCAGAGGAGAAATGAGGGAAGCATTTATCTGTTGGCTTTCATCCCCATTGGTCAAGGATGGCCCCACGAGTGTTCACTCAGGTTGCACTTGTATGCCTGTCAAGCATGTACATCCCACAAAGAGCATCAGACAAAGCCCTGGAGCTAGAAGCAAGAGGTGTTGTCAGGTTTCAGTGCACAAAGTTATTTAAAGCCAGTGCAGAACTGGAGGCCTCATTAGCACTTAGATTAGGAGGTGGGGTGACAGAATTTGAAGTGGCTCACAAGAGGTATCTATCACATCTACTCCGTGACATAGCCTGTTGATGTGTTTGGGAGAAGTGCTGCCCTCCAGTTTCCTGATGCGGGAGTGAGCTGTCCAAAGGAAGAGCACCTTCTGGTCCACTCCTCCTGCTCTAGGTTTTCCCCAGGGCAGCACTTCACACTGAGCGCCCAGTAATCCCTGTCACCAGGTTGCATATCTGTCTAATTCTGAGGACCAGAATTAGAAAACCCATTGTTGACTCATACCTAATCCAGTCCTTCAATCTGTCTTTATCTGTCATAAATATTTTGTTCTCCATCCACCTGAATTCTTTGAGCTTCTCTCAACATGTTTAAGGACTCAGGTAAGGTTAGAAGTGTTAGGTATTGGGCCTCATGGGCTATAACAGTGAGTATGGGCTGAAGAGCAGAGTGAAGGCTGGATTTCTAACCCCAGCAACTCTCTCACCTTGGGCGGGGCACCACTGGCACCACCTGTACCTGATGGCCTTCATCAGAAGTTAAAGGAGGAGAATTTCAACAAAGAACCTGGAGGCAACCAGGAAAGCATAACTGATCTTAGCAGACGTTGCTTTAATGGTGTTCTAAGGGAAGAATCCCAGTTGCAATGTATTGCAGAAGACTTTCAAGGAGAATACGTCCTTTAGGTGAAGCTGTGACATAAAACAACGCTAGAGGAAGCAAAGTTGAAGAATCTTGTTATCTACAACTTCAGCCTATTCTGGCAGGGAAAAGCAATGAGTGATATGCATTCACAACCTTATTCCCTCCCTGCCTTCCCAGAAGGAGGTGATGGGAGCAGTTGAGTCTGATCCACCTCTGTGGTTTCAACGGGGATGACAAGTGAAGGGTGGGCGTGGGTACAAAATGGAGAAGCAAAAGATTGACTGTGGTGAGCCTCTGGTGGGATGAAAAAGAAAAAAAAAACAATAGAATCGGACAAAGACAAAACTCTATAGACTGAGTTAGTTGTTCTTGGGAGCTTAGAATGGGAGTGAGAATGAACAGGACCTTGGGAACATCTGCTCTGTGTGTGGGAGGTAGAGACGGACAGAGAATGTTGACTTTGGGGGTTTCCATCTGCATTATGAATGTCATCCTCCTTTGGAGGGTGGCCAAATTTAGCAAGTAAAAATATAGGATACTCAGTCAAATTTGAATTTCAGATAAACAATGAACTATTTTAGAGTATAAGTATATCCCAAATATTGTATGGGACCTGTTTGCACCATGTATAGGACGTATTTACAGTAAAAAAAATTATTGTTTATCTGAAATTTAAATCTAAATTTAACTGGATATTCTGTATTTTATCTGGCGACTCCACCTCTTTGGCATTTTCCCGAGAGATTGTAATTATTTACTGACGTTTATTTGAACTAGACACAGAATTAAGAAAGGTCCACAAGGCAGCTTGATATGAAGTTGGGTACTAAATTTATGTACTGAAGGAAAGAAAAAAATGGACAACAAGTGGCTGTTGTTAGAGAAGAGAGAGAATAATTGATAGAAAAAAAGCCACCCAAAGAGATGTAAGGGGGCAAGACACGATGAAGTGGAAGAACCAACTTTACACAAAATGAGAGACGGCCCTTCCCAAACATGAGAGTAGAGTAGAGAAGGATGGATACATATTTAAATAAATTTGCATGTATAAGTTAAAAGTTTTGTCTAGATTGTTAATTCTTTGTGGACAGGGACTATGTTTTTGCTAAATGCCAACCATTTAGTAAGTACTCACTAACTATTTGTTAAACTAAACTGATCATCTTTTTATTGAGTGGAGGGGGTGCACTTCAGGTTGGGATGAGGCAAGAGATGAAGATGTGGAATGGCCTATGTGGAAAATTGGAGAAGGACCTGATCAAGAACACACAAAAGGCTTCCTCACTGACTGCCCATTGAGGCTGGATCCACACATGATTAATGCTATAAAGTGAGTAGGATATTCTAACAAGTGTGTTTTGCTGTGACTTCCAAATTCCCACCTCCTGGGCTTCCTAAATCCTAGGAATGTAATCCCACAACCAACCTCTGTTTTTTGCGAAGGTTTCAGTTTTCTGACAAGACATTTTTAAAAGACAGGACTTTCTCAATGAAACACTGTAACTCCCATGCATAAAGCAACTCTTTCAAAAGAAATCACCTCATGTGTAAATCAAGAGTTTTGAAAACAACACCTAGAGCACTTTCCACTTGTTCAGGTTAGTTCTTGACAAAGACCCAGTTGCAACAAAAGAGAATGGGTGTGAAGAATAGAACCAAGAAAAATAATCAACAGTGGTACTGTTTTATTTTCCAGGAGGCACAGAAAGAGCCTTTCAACTATAACAAGCAACTCTAAGGACTAGAAAGGTGGATACTTCAAGCCTTGGAAAGGCCTCAATACTTTAGTCTGTACACTTGGAGTATTTTGTCAGGTAAATCAAGAGGAATTCACTACTTGACCCATAAAGCAAGAGAGAACTGGTCTTTTAAAAAATCCTTTAAGCTTCATCAAAAGACGCTATTAAGAAACTAGACAAGCCACAGGTTGGGGGAAAATATTCACAATGCATATACCTGAAAAAGTGTTTGCATATGAAATACACAAAGAGCAACTTCAAAAGTTAGAAGATAAGTAAATGGGCAAAATATTTTTACAGGCACTTCACTGAAGGATATGTACAAATGGCCAAGAAGCACATTATGAAATGCTCGATATCATTAATCATCAGAAAAATGCAAATTCAAATCACAAACACATACCACTTGACAACACCTAAAATGAGTAAATAACAAAGATTGACTATACCAAATGTTGATGAAGATGTGACGCTGCTGGTGGAAATGTAAAACAGTACAACCACTTTGAGAAAAGTGCCAAATTCTTAAAAAGTTAAATGTGCGTTTACCCTATGATCTAACAATTCCTCCCCAAAGTACATATTCAAGATAAATGAAAGCATATGTCCACAATAAGGCTTGTACAAGAATGTTGAAAGTAGCATTGAGCATAAGAGCTAAACACAGATGTCCATCAAGAGGAGAAAGTATAAACAAACTATGGTGCATCCATACATTGGAACACTACACAGAATTTAAAAGGAACAAACTACTAATATATACAACAACATCAGACCAATCTCAAAAGCATTATGCTGAGAGACAGAGGATGGTAACAACAAGTACATAGGCAAGCATATA